CTTTTCAATGAGAAACATGGAATACAAATATACTGGTGACCATGCCTTTGAACAAATACATCCTAGATGTAAATATAATTACTATTTATATTGTCGTCTCAACAAGAAGATGTGTAGAGCGTTGTACTGGTCATTTTGATACATGTACATTGTATTAGGAAGCATTCTTTTATGGCATAACAATGTCTTACATTAATCAAGATTCTGAATAATTTTCCCGACTGTCCACTCATTTACATGACATCTAAGTCGAATTTCAATTGACTTGTGTCCTCTGAATGGCATAGTGGCTCTGTAGTGATGTCCGTTGTAACATCAAGAGTTAGTGTTTGCTGGTTGATCCTTTTAGCCACTGTCAGCAGCAAAAAGAACATAAAGGCAACGTATATGTAGAGAGAATAAAAAAAATACAGGTATGCCATTGGACCAAGCTTCTCAAACACGACCCCGGCGAGGAAAGGTAACACCATTGCACCTAATCCAAGCGAAGCACCGGATGCAGATATAATCCGCGAATCAAATGTCACATAACCTGCACACCAAGCATAGCCAGCGCCAACATATGATGATATAAACAGGCCTATTGCACAAGTGCACACCCACAGCATGGTTTCAGAGTGAGAGACGGTGAAGATTAAAATTGTTTCGCAAAAGACTAATGGAATGATGTTTAAAATGATTAATTTTTCCACACCAAGCATAGGGGTTAACAATATACAAAGTATTCTTCCAGCAAGCAAACCAATCCAAAACAGTGTGGTTAACAGAACCATATTTGATTTGTCGAGATGGAGAGGTCCTTTGACGCCAAACTCTGTCAAGAACGTGGAGTACATTACACTGCCTCCGAGGAGGGGAAAATAAAATATTACAAATAAAGCAGAAAACAACAAAACGTGCTTTCGGTTCTTGGGGACAGGTGGCACTTCTTGCACTGTTTCCGTCACGTTGTTCTCAGGTACGGCACCCTTTGACTTCCTCCAGTAGAAAAAAAATGCAAAAGCAGGCGGAAGTGTTATTAATCCTAACAATAGGTACGGCATTGTGAGATTTACCTCATGAGGTAAGCAGCTAGTGGCAATCAAATCCGTAGTATTATCTGAACCATTTACATTTACAGACTTTACTGTATTATTGTGTACACGATCTGTTATGTCTCCCGTGGTGTTCAAAACCGCCAGGTCACCATGTTTAGACAACCAAAGGTTGTGTCATTATGGATCTGGTTTTGACTGAAGTTGTTAAACCTTGAAGTGTCCAAATCGTAGGGTTTGCAGAGAAATAGTTTCACGATTGAAGGAGACAAACTCCCTCCCGCAGTCGGTCCAAGCAAAACAAACTGCAATGGAACACCCTTATTGTCACCCCAAAGAATACTGCATTTTTCCATTGCATCTGAAATAAAACCAAAACAACATCATCCGATGGGTAATGCGCAGCCTGTACCTGTAATATTATTATAAATTACCAGCTTGAAACATTAAGGCAAGAATTCATTTGTTTGGAATGTTACTCGATTACATGATTGGACGTTTACCACTTTGGGTCAGTGAATGAATAAGGTTTTTACGCCGCTTTTAGTAGTATTCCAGCAATATCACTCCGGAGGACACCAGACCATGAGGGAAATCCAAACCCGGTTTTCGGTGTGTCGAGTGAATGCTTTAACCACTTGGCTATCTATCTGCCCCACATACTGATGTGATTTGTAGATACTTACAACAATACACAGCTCCCCCTAAGAAGACCCTGGATCGTGAACATTACACACACGTAGTAGAAATTAGCAACAGCAGTCGAGACGGCAACAGCGACAGATCCCAGCAGAACCGAGATACAAACTCTGATGTGAACATCAGCCGTCTTGGCCAGAGCTCCCGACAAAATGGCACCCAAAACTCCCCGAGTCCGGTGGACAACACGATATAGTTGAGTTGTCCCAGGTCCACCTGCAGCAGAGCCTGGAGGTCTAGAAGGCTTGGCCCAAGGAGAGAATCGCCAATTCCCTGGAAGTTTAGTGAGGCAGAAATAAGATTGATTGAAAATGCTTGGTCTAATGTCGCTTTTAACAGTATTTGTGCTTGGGAGATGGTGCGCATCACAGACGTAGGCCTATTCTATACGAAATTTAAACATCACAATAAGGGATGACCACTGATGGATTGTGTTGAAAGTTATATAGCAACCACGTCGATTAACAGAGTCCACCCATGAACTATCACGACAATCCAATAATCAGTATGAAATTATCATCCAATATTTCCCAATACTCGTCACTAATTTGTGTTAAACATAAATAAACGTGTGTCAACCAAGTCAGCGAGCCTGACCACCAGATCCCGTTAGTCGCCTCTTACGACAAGCATGGGTTTGCTGAAGGCCAATATTCTAACCCGGACCTTCACGGGTCTCAATCACTGGAACGTCAGATAGTACTCATGACTTTTATTTCAACATATGTCATAGGTGTTGGTTAATATTGTCTCGAGGTTGGACTGTTTTACTCACCACCAGAACCAAACACCAAAATATCCACATTGTCTGCAGAATCTTCCATCCTCGTCCCGCCATTGATCAGACGCTGTCTGAATGTTATAGACACCAACACCTTAAACACGCTGAAATATTTCTGGATGATGTTTAGCTACAATTGTTTTAAAGTGTTGCATGTAATGACTTCAAGCTTCTAAAGTCACAACAAATGTTTACCTCGACCTTGGAGGAAACAGCACCATTTTCTGTAAATAAATATCTTTGCTTCAGAATCATTTTATAAGAATCCAAATACCAACAATTCCTCTTATTCCAAATGTAAAGACAGTGCCTACCACATTCGTCCCTACTCGGCCCATCTCCAGTTGCCATGGACGACGTCACCCTACCGAACAATGTCATGTGGGAAAATACGACAAGCAAACTGAATGCTCGTAGAATAACACAGAACAACGGGTTCTTGGAGCCCTTATTACACTATTTCGGACTTTGTGTGTAGAATGGCGCCAATATATGTTGATGGTTGTATCTGCAGACTGAAGGAATCACTAATAATCACTACAGTCTAAATATAAAACGTCAACGTCAACCAGTCTCGAGTATCCACAGAAACAGATGCTGTTGGACGGACAAGGAAACATTACGATAATTATTGTATGAATGAATCAACGACATCTGCCACGAAGATAAACTAAGTGCTTGCTGCCTCGTGCCTCAAAACACAACTGCCATGCGACAGAGGCTTGTAAACAAACCAGAAACCCGTTGTTACAATAGGGCATATATTGATCGTATTGAAACTAAAACCGATACATTATTATGGAATTACCTCTGCAATTCTTTACAACTGCTTATACTTAAAGAAAAACTTTTGAATACGTATAGTTTTTATATTCAGAAGCTAACGTCCAGTTTTGAAGAAGAGGTTTTGAGTGAATATTGAAACTAGAACCGGAACAGAGGCGAAATGTAGGACAGTCGCTTCCACCATTTTTTAAGGAGAGTTACCATCTTTAGGTGACCAATTATGGCAATTAACATCCGATAAAGCAAATTTCCGAAATAATATATTATGCATTTATACATATCATCCCCTTAGTTTCAATACAACATACTGACAATATGTTACTTTCATTCCGCTAACAATGGCTAAAGTGTGGAAAGAGATTTGAAAAATGTAAATATACCTAAAAAGCTCGATCTCTACTATCACTGAACCCATTACTTGTTATTTATCCAGTATGTGCATATTAATTATAGACATTCAATGCAACCGCCTCCGTGGTGTAGTGGTTAGAGCGCCCGCCCGGAGAGCGGAAGGTCGCGGGTTCGATCCCCGACCGCGTCATACCAAAAGACGTTAAAATATGGTACTTGTTGGACCCTGTCTGGCGCTCAGCATTAATTGGTACAAGGACTGGTCGGCTCGGAGTCAGTATAATGTGTCTGAGTGGGGTATTCATGCTTCACTGCGGCATGGTATCTCATTGAGCTAGCACTATAAAACCAGCTTCAGTCTGGGCTAGTACAAGCAGCCGCACATACACATACACACGCATGCACGTCGTCATATGAGCGAAATATTCTCAAGCACGACGTTAAACCCAATTTCACCTCACCTCACACTCAATGCATTCAGCGTCATCGTCATCGTCGTAATCTAGGGCACTTGTCGCGCTTCCAGGACAGCTTTGCACAACGCTTGTCCACACACGTATGTTCATGGGGTTTGGAAAAGGTTTTAAGGTACTTATGGACATGCGATTTGAATTTGCATAACTATATTCGACAAGACATCAAAGCAAAACTCACCTTCAATATTCAGCTGCTAGCGACGAAGGTAGTGTCAGAATAATGTACACACATTTACTAAGCACGCAATTTGATTGCAACTGGCGTATACTGTTCCTTGAGGTTGGTAGGTTGGGTTACTATTTAACGCCGCACTCAGCAATATTCCAGCTATATGGCGGCGGTCTGCAAATAATCGGGTCTGGACCAGACATTCCAGTGATCAACAGCACGCATGTACATAGATCTACGCAACTGGGATACGACGGTGTGTGTCAACCAAGTCAGCGAGCCTGACCACCCGATGCCGTTAGTCGCCTCTTACGACAAGCATGGGTTGCTGAAGTACAAATAGTCTTCCTGGTAAACTCCGCAACGTTCCACGCGCGTTACGATCCCCTGGAAATAATCGAGCCTAAACTAGTGATTGATGTTATGAGCAATGTTATACGCCGTTGTAAACATCGCGTCTGACCACTCGAACAATCTGACGACATTATTACATTTTGCCGTTACCTTATTATTGATGGAACGGACAAAACATTGGCATGTCGTCACTTGTTGTATACCAGTGGCATTGTTATCGTTAATCATTGGCAAACGTTTGTAACTTTGTACCCAGCACTGGATTATGGCATAGTAAAGGGATGCAGCTAATCCCAGCGAGGCTCTGCGCTAAAGCGACTCGAACCGCGCCCCCGTACACACCAGAACAATAGAATAGTTTAATGTTTATTGCAGAGATGTGATATACATAAAAATCATATAATGTCAAACGCCTGCCCTGTAAAATGTCATGTTTTCTGTAAAATGGTGGATATACACAAAAACAGTTCGATTAAGAAGTTGGCGATATGTAAAATTCGGAATATCTTGGACCTATATATATATATGGTGCAAGAGGAATTACAGTGTTTCAAGAGATAAAGAAAATCCTTGAGAACAACAATTCCCATTGTGTAAGCAGACCACATTGCAGTCCTAATCAGCCGCTAGTGTAGTCTAGGGAGACAATAATATGATCAATGTCATGATAACATTCGAACAATTACCATCTGTCACAGAATAGTATTCATAAACATAATGCTATTATACAGTTTGCAGCACACACATATGTTTCTACACATGGATGCACATTACCGTTATTAAACACACATTTAACATTACTACATAATTAAAACACAGTGGTATGACAATAAATTTCTATAGTCAACAGCTTTGGAAGGTTAGTCATGTGAGCTGTAAAGTTATACCCCGCTGTTATACCCAGCTGTCTTAAACAATTAATAAGGTGAAAAATGACGCTTGTTTTTAAAAACATTATGCCAACCGTGAGCAACAAAACAATAACGCTCCTCACACACATTAAACTATCCAAGCCCGAACAAGGATCACTACTTTTTGGAAATGTACACAATAACACTCAGTTCAATCAATATCTACCCAGTGAAATAGTGTACCCGGTTGCACCTCTTGGTAAGCACACTTATCAGTCTTTGATCTTGTTTACTTTAAAATGCCAAATTAATGAATCTGATCCCGTACTGATTACCCCATTCAGGTGTTAGCTAATTTAAAGGAGTGTTTTTAATATCATTTTTTGCATAATAATATATGGGGTTTGAATCCACGATACACTCTAACGATTTGTGATAAACCTACATGCAGCTGATACGCTCGAAATATAATAAAGACAGACAGTTTTGATTTAAAAACCCATGTCAATGAGGCAAATAATTACAATTCCTCGTCATCACAAACCGTTTTGTTAAAACATATAATAACATATAAAAGGAACCTGTTCATCTTGTTCATCACCTCGAAGGGATAATGCAGGCAAAACAACATTTATTAGTTTAAGTAAATTTGGGTCAACATATTTTGAGAAGAAAAAGAAATGTCTTTTCTAAAAATCGTCTGTCTTGTCATTATGATTTTAATATTCATAGCACTGATCATGCACAGACTAGTTTAGCTCTCCTTTAGTATTATGTACCTGACGAGCTATCTGTAAAACAACATATGATTATAGAAGAAACGTATACTGCAGAGTATGCTTTACAAGCACGACTGATTTCCTAGTTCAGCTCGCTTAGTTTTCGAAAGAGATGATGGTAAAAACACTGTTAAAAACAATATATTAAAATCTGAAACTATATTTTGTGCTCACTACAAACAGAACATCAATTTATGACATGCCAACCAATTTGACACGAAAATGAACGCAAAATGAACATGCGTGTTCATGAACACAATCGTGTGACTAAATTGATGGTTTCGGGCTGCAAATATATTTACGACGGATGACGGACATCGAATAGCTAGTTCAAAAGTATCACAAGGAAACGTTATTTTTCGGGACTAAGACGTTCTTCACACATGTCCACATCTACGTCTATCTCTACTGAGGGAGATTTCATTTTCTTGGTTAGTATAAGCATTGTACAGAACAAAAGAGCCACAAAAATGTACAATGAATAACATAAGTATAAATAGGACATAGGTCCAAAAACATCAAACATAACCCCACCAACAAATGGCAGAACCATCGCCCCGAGACCTAGTGAGGCACCGGAAGCGGAAATTATTCGAGGACCAAATTTCACATATTTCGCGCACCATGCATATCCGGCTCCAACATTTGGCGATATGAAGATTCCGATTGTGCATGTACAAATCCACAGAATAACTTCCGAATATTGGACTGTAAAAACCAAAACTGTTTCACCAATAAGTAATGGGATCATACAACAATATATGAGTTTCTCTACGCCAATAAACGGTGTCAGAAATATAGCGATAATTCTTCCTAGAAGTGACGAACCCCAATATAATGACGTCATCATAACCATTTTAGGTTTCTCTAGGTGAAGTGGTCCCTTAACACCAAACTCTGTTAGATATGTGGAGTACATCACGCTGCTGCCAAGTAGGGGAAAATATAATATAACAAATAATACGGAAAACAATATAACAAGGGCTTGTTTGGGTTCGTGATTGGTAAGATCTTCCCGTGTTACTCTAACAGCATCGTCGGATGATTTTCCCTTGTTTTGTCTCCAGTAGATGAAGAATGCAAATGCAGGTGGCAGAACAAGGATCGCCAATATATAGTAAGCATATGTGATATAAACGTCTTGGGGTAAACATCTTAAAGATGTTGATAAAGTTGCGTTGTCTGAAGCATTTGCAAACGTTGACAACTCGGAGCTCTGTGTTTGTGGCCTGTACAATACTGGGTGCTTAAGGTCAGTGATGTTCACGTTTTCATAACTGACGTTGGTGGCGGTGAAGTATGCCGTCTCGGGGTCGTATGGTGTACAGAGAAATAGTTTGATGAACAAGGGTGAGATAATTCCTCCAGTGGTTGTTCCGAGTAATATACATTGAAATGGAACCCCTTTATTCTCTCTCCACAGGGCGTTGCATTTTTCTATTGCATCTGAAACAGCATAAGATGTAAGGACACGGTAATGGCATATCTCACTGTTGCATTTATTGTAGTTTTGTACTGATGTCCGGCAGCGTATAATGTCTACATTTTCCAAGATTCATTATTAACACATGCATTATTGCGATAATGCTGCTAAGACCATTATGTTGGAAAATCAGTTCGAACAGAAAGTGTTTAACATAAGCCCCAAACAATAATGTGCTTTACACAGAAACAGGGAATAGACTGCGTGGAAGCCCATACTTTAACAAAACATCATTAAAACATTATATTATTGTGTAAGTTTGGATTGTCAAGACAGTCCATAGTGATACCGGTTTTAGGCGTTTTAGTTTAGTGACGATTACAGTCATTCCTACTTGTTGGTCCCTGCCTGGCGCTCGGCATTAATGGGTACAACAAGGACTGGTCGGCTCGGAGTCAGTATAATGTGTCTGAGTGGGGTATTCATGCTTCACTGCGGCATGGTATCTCAGTGGGCAAGCACTATAAAACCAGCTTAAGTCTGGGCTAGTACAAGCAGCCGCACATACACATACACACGCATGCACGTCGTCATATGAGCGAAATATTCTCAAGCACGACGTTAAACCCAATTTCACCTCACCTCACAGTAATTCCGCTGACGAACCAAGAAACATGATCCGGTCGAACCGTGATTGGAACCAACGAAGAGGTGCCTTGGAGGACTCAAACACTCATGAAGCCTACCAAAGAACAAGTAATTCATCCAGTTACATTAAACAAGCTATGTCAGAAACAAATATATTGAACTTGGTATATACTTACAACAGTACACAAATCCCCTGAGAAAGCCTTGTAATGTGAAAAATGTCAACACGTAGTAGTAATTGGGTATCACGGCAGACAGAGCAACACTGAGACTTCCTAGCAAAACAGAGACTGAAAGTCTCAAGTCACAGCCACACGTCTTGCTGAGAAGGCCTGCTAGAATGGCGCCGACGAAGTCACCGAGTCCGGTGGACAGCACGACGAAGTTGAGTTGCTGAAGGTCTACCTGCAGCAGAGACTGGAGTTCCAGAAGACTTGGACCAAGGAGAGAGTCGCTAACACCCTGGAAAGAGGACTTATATATCACATTTCTCAAATCAAGTACAAGGCAAAGATACAGAATACCTGATAGTTGCTGCGTTCATGTTCCCCCGTCATGTTCTCGAGAAAAAGATTATTTTAAAATGATGTCCCATGGATACAGTACTACATGTACATGTAAGTTAACATGTTTCGGCGACGAGAGCGGTGAGGTTGGTCGCTTTGGCAGAGGTACTAGTATGTCCTTGTCTTATTCACTGTTGAGGTTTACATAAACATCATTTACAGATGAAGATGCAAAATACAGCAGAGAGGGTTCGGGTGATCCTGGCACAGTCGGGCTGGTGAGGCTCACAATCAGCTCAGCGCCCTTGTCCCCTCTACACGCAGCCCTGACAGCGAATGGGACTTTTGCCAGGAAACGCTGCCTAGACGAACCCACCAAGAACTTTCCGGAGAATATGAATGCTCCCCAATACTGCAGCCTTCTGCATTACCCTGAGTGTCTGTTGGGCTGTGCTCCCGGTGGAGAACCTGGGCACTCTTCTGATCTGAGCCAAGAGATCAGAACCAAGGGCACCAAGAACAATGGAGAGTCTGACGACAGTGTACTTGGGATGCAAGCGAGACATTTCAAAGGCGAGGTCCGCATATTTATCATGCTTTTCCTGAATCTTGCAAATCACGTTGCTGTCAAACGGGACAGAAAATTCAATGATATAAATAAATTCATTGGCTTTATCAAAAAGGACAAGATCAGGTTTGTTGGTTCTTCTGAGGCTGTATATGGGCCTATTCCAAAGAAGTTTAACGCTGTCATTTTCCATGACGCCCTGGACATGTTCAGGGCCGTACCATGTATGGACCTCGGAGTCAAAGCCACAGGCATGGCGAAGACGATAATAGAAGCAACGAGCCATGCCATCACGTCTTTTAAGATATGCTGTTTGTGCCAAGGTCTTGGGCAGTGTCTGTAAATTCATTACACAGTCAACATTTCATATTGATATTTTCTTTAAGAATCACATTAAGGCGATTGCGAGTTGGAAGTGACTGGTCCTGATCAGCAAAAAGGAAACCCTCAGTTTCGCATTTAAGACCAGCCGACTTCATCCAGGCGTAGGAGTCAGTTGGATTGCTATTCTGTTCCACACACTGCATAACATAAATCTTCAGACCATTGTACAACAGCTGTTCAACGCTTTCTAAGAACAGAGGTCTACTTTTACATACACGGATTTTGATGGTGAAGACCCATTTACTTGAAGACCTATGCTGAATGGTACTCACCACCATGACCAAAGACCAGAATATCCACACTGTCTGAAGTATCTTCCAGCACTGGATTTTGACCATCTTGATACACCGTATTGGACCTATCTGTAAGAGAGGCGCGGTTTTAATATCAATTGCACATAACATTATAAATCGGGGTCAAGGGCTTTCATTTGGACACAATTCCAATACAATTGTTTACGTTTCTATACATGCTGACACAATGACATTTACGGTATCCCATTGTTCTCTTTCACATGCATATTGTCACAGGAACATAAATAACATAATTCATATAAAATTCAAATAAAATTCCATTGTCACTGATCGGGTCCATATACATATTGACACAGTGATAACAGATACTGACACTATGCCCTGATGGACTGTATGGCATGAGGGGGGAAGCTCAACTTTCAAATAGTCAACATTCCTTTCACATGTTGGACAATATTCCGACATGCACAGCCTTTGGTGTCCACATTTTACATCATTTATAAATAAGAATCAAGCATGTGCTTTCTACGAACATTTCAAAAATTCAAGCAAAATCTTGCTCTAAAGTTCTTTGAGGACGGTTTCACCATTTAAGTCCTTTGTACAACTGTTTCAGTGTTATTTGACAGACAGGACAGGACGGGGGTGGGGGACATAGCAACGTCATTTTCCACACCCATTCCCTCACTTGTTAACTGTTGATAATGGAAACATAAATGTAACTAGTGGTATACACAACATATTGATAATAACATCACCGGTCTTGTGTAATGGAACAGTTAATCCATGTGACCCAACAGAAGAAGAGGTGAAGATACAGCACTGAGCAAAACAAAGCAATAATTAAGCAATTCTGCGCCGTAATTAGCATAAGGATAATTCCCTATGTAATCAAAATGTCCTTCCAATATACATTTATTGTGAGCGTTGTGAAATCAATGAACGATACAATGTATTGATGTATCTGTTTGATTCTATTGCTGTTTTATAGACAGACTGCATGTGGCCGGGACGTTAATTAAAAAGTCAATAAAAAGTTACACAAAACCATTTCTTATTTGCGTCACACAGTTTAGCGGGCAACAGTATTATGTATGGTATTCTCTTTGCCTGTTTTTTGTGTAGGCCAGGTTAATGAATATGCATATCACGTAAAATTAATGTTGCAAAAAAAAGTCAGCGGTAGAACTGAAGACGACAGCAGGCATTTTTTTGTAGTTGAGGAATAATGGGTGAGTAGGTGATTTATGATTTTAAGTAACATCGGCAATATTTCACCCATATCGTGACTAAAACAAGTTATAATTTCATAATAAATCATGGTAAATTATAAAAACCTGCCGGCGAATGACAGTAAAAGTACCTAGAATATCATAGATATAATTGTAAAACTAGTATGAAAGTATAAAATATCGTAACTATGAAAGACAATACAATATAAAACACGTGCTATTGATCGCCAACAACTGAATGTAGATCACCATACTAGAGGCCATGGGACTTATAGTACCTTTGCTACTTGCATGGATCCTAGCTGGATTTACACCATCCCTTTAGCCGCTGGCGCTTGTAGTCAAAATTAGCCCATTAAAATAGCACATATTCTACGATTAAAAACACGTGGTATGAACACCTTTGCATGAAATGGGACTTACATACCTTCTCAGGGGGACAATAATTTTACGATACTTAAACCCCATTTGAAGGTAATGCCACTCACAGTCAAAGTCATTAATTCATTCTCGCAAATTAAAATTCATATTCTAATTACAAAACATATCAAAATTTATCCATTAATTCAATCTATTTTAAAAACTCAATAATTAAATGAACATGTACATGAAAGATCCTTCACCGTTTTGACACTGAAATAGTTATCCCTTGTGATGGAATATGAGGAATAATGGTAAAAATGGTACAAGTTGATGGTAATCACGTGACAAAACGCACCCCGGGACCGAATGGCCAATGTCTGGGCTCGTCTACTAGACGGGAGATGTCAGTCAGGTTTTATAGATAATAATAATAGTACATATTTATAATGCGCACATATCACGCTCGTAAGCATGCTCATGGCGCTAAGATATTAGATAGGTACATTACGTCATGTGGTAGGTCACTGATCCATGCACATATACATACGTAAGATCCGCCGACGTAGGGAGGTGTTAATTGACATTTACAGATAGCATTGAGAATGAAAGGTCCTGCCCGGAGGGGGTTTATGATAAGAAGGGATACACCGAATGTTTGTTGAATAAATTAAACAGACAAATGAGATTAAATTTCGGTGCACTTTGGACATACATTGAAACAATATGTGAATATATGAAGTTTTAAAGAAACTTATTGAAATGGTTTACTCTTTGACAGCTGTCATGGTAACCTGACTTCTGAATTTGTTGCAACTGATGAGTCTGACAATAATTTTGGATAACGTCCCCGGTGTCACAACAATGTGTGTGCCCTATTTAATCTAATGTGGACTAAGTCACTTGACGACAACATCAGGAGTATGGAATGTGCACACTGATGTCAGCAGAACATGACACACACCCTTCTTTTTATATCATCAATATTTCATAACATCAATCGTCTTTTAGAGGCTTTATGCATACAAATGAACCAAGGTTTCTTTTAATTGTTTGCAAAATGTTATTTGTTTGCACCCACACTCTCCTGACTGTTATGGCCCTTATGTCTCAACATTGTGTTCAACTTTAGCAGGTGGTGACGTGGAGTTGGATCTTCACACATGCACAGTGAGTGAGTGAGTTTAGTTTTACGCCGTTTATAGCAATATTCCAGCAATATCACGGCGGGGGACACCAGAAATGGGCTTCACACATTGTACCCATGTGAAGAATCGAACACTGTAACCACTAGATTACCCCTCCGCCATACATTATGGCAGAGGAACACTGTTTTCAGCTGATATTACAAAACTCTGTTAATTGTGATTAAGAATAATCACATTTTAGGCAGAATAACCAATAAACCTCCTAAATCATATACACTTTTCACTTTGTGAAATTGGCAAGTTTACCAATCTAAAACAGTCTTAGCTTGATGAATGAATAGACTTACGTGCTATTTCCTTCCATGACGTGGCCTCCACCTACTTAATGGGTCATTTGCCTTACTCGAGTTCAACAGACAGTAGGGTTCACTGGTCAGTGTTTCAGACTGCCGGTCATGATCCAACCCTTTTCTTCATGTTAAAGTTGATTAATGTGACGCTGGCCAGTTTCTGACCATGCTGTCTCTCCAACTTCGAGCAACGTTTCAGATTCCTCCCCTGTGTACTTACGTCACCCGCTAATGTCAAAGGTGCTTATACTATTGACTTTTGGGTAAATGAAAGCACAGCCATGTGTGTCAACCTCCTCGTGGATGATTTACCAAACAATGACAGTCATTTGAGTGTTATACAGTATTTAAGTTCGACCACTCGTAAACAATGTCATCACATTATGTCCTGAGTGTTATAACCACGTTCCACGAGTGTAGCTCAACTTGGCTATAATGTGATGATGGCAGCCGAGGAAGGCAAACAACCTACCATTAATGAATACGAAACATGCATTGTTACTGGTTTTGGGGTTTAAAGATTGGTTCATTTTTATTGTTAAATATTTTTGGGATGATATAATCTAAATAACCATAGTCATGCATCAAATTAACACATGGTCTCCTTCTTTTGCAGTGTAAGTAAACTTAGGCTCAGTATTATTCGTTACACTGATATACTGAGTCTAACAAAACCTTATGGAAGGTCGCGTCAGGTAACCTTTGAGTGACCTATGACCGCCCAATCAAACGCGAGACGACCAATCAGACAACGGTTACTAATTAGGGTTCGGCGGGACTTTCAAAATGGATTTTCTCTTCCCAGGTCGCCAAGACTGATCTCACAACAAATGAAAACCCACATAAAACACAGATATATGACCTGCAGAATATACGCTTTTGGGTTTCTGTTGGCATGGTTATCATTAGCTAATATTACCGAAAGCTGACATCATTGAATACTGACAAAACGCTATTTTCAGCGACTGTTTACTCACGGTTGTGGCGTGCTCCATGTGCATCACTCGGAAGCTATCGTACGGAAAATAGCATTCGGAATCGTTCGGGTACAAAACTTTTTCGAGGTAAAAGTTCAAAAGGCATGTGCGAATGTCAGCATTCGCGATTTGGTAAGCAGTGTTCTGATTGGTCAATTGAAAAGGTTACCTGACGCGACCTTCCACAAGGTTTTGTTAGACTCAGTATAGCAGTGTAACGAATAATACTGAGCCTAAGTTTACTTAGACTGATTCTTTTGTGACATGTGAATATACTGGCAATAGCTCCAATCGTGAATGTATGATCATAAGAATTTCTTTATTAATGCAGAAAAACATCATAAAATTCCTTTTGACATAGTCATCCTATAGACATCTTGGACTGGAAAAAGTGTAGAAGGTTAATCAAAGTTTCATTTTTCTAAAAAGCTACATGTATATATACAGTACATACATCACAGATTGGCCTAGTGCAGATGGTTCCAAAGTTGTCTGCAAGGACAGCGGATATAAACTTTTAGATAATGTATGTAACATATAAACGAGTCCCAAAGAACGTGTGTTAATAATCAAAACAACGGCGAATGCCCTCCAGATGCTGTTACTTTGAAGTATTCCTGATGTGTGTAGTCTGGTTTCAATAAAGAACCCAACAGTGGAAGCATTTTCGGATTTCTGTGGCGTGGATGGTTCGATGACTGAGATTGATTTTGATCCCATTTCTGTGTTTAGAACCTTGATATTAATTTTAGTTAACACACACGTGATTTATTTGCAGCCGTAAACAAAATGAACCCCATTTTACCATTGGTATAGTTTAAATATCTGCTTAGGTAAACATACATATACCATTATAAACTTCAGTACACAGCAAATGTACGCAGATAACTGTATGCAACCATGACGCAACAACCCTTCAGTTTTTAGGCAACTTAATTGCATAAATACAACAGGTCTTGCTCCTCTCTTGTCATCCATATTTGGTGGTATAAACCTACACTTGGTCATTTGTCACCGGTCACTTGATGGCCAGTTAATGAA